CGGTGGTGTTCATCAGAACAACATTAGAACAAAGTGTAAAAATCAGTTTAAAAGGACTTGAGTCATATCAGATCGACACAAACCATAAAAACAATAAACGAAAAGACTGAAAACACAATGAACTGATCCAAGACACTCCCAGTTAGTAAAAGCTAGTTTAACGCAATTTAAGACTGATAAATTAATCACATTTCCTATACTAAAATATCAATTCTTACACATCCAATGGATTTAGTGTAAAGACGTCGTAAACTGTCTGAGAAACGCATCAGCTTGTGCAATGCTAAAATATAAGTATCGACAGGATGTTGGACCGTAAGTTTTCATAACTGTATATATATATATAGGAAAAGCAATGATTTAGTTATGTTTTAATATATTAATAACAAAATTAATGTTAGTACCGATAAAGATATAGCACAAAACAACAATTGACCGGTTTCCTAACTTAACGTTCAGCGAGGTTAAACTTATTCTATTAGTCTTCTACAGCCCCTTTTTTATATATAAACCAGTACAATAATAAAGGGCACAAAGAAAAACGAGCAATTAGAAATCGGTTAGGTGAAGGCACTGAACACAATACACCATCGGCTTTACAAAAGACAATAGCACAGGGGTAAATGTATGCAATTATTCTTGCTTAATAAAAAAATATCATCTACTTCAACTTTTTGCAATTAAGAAATTGGTCAACTTAATAGACAGAAAAAAGCTGACTTAGTGTTCCAAACAAAGGCGTGTAACATTTACAAGCCATTGCGCTCGTAAAACAATAAATGTTTCAACAAATTTCATTTAAAATATCTTTTATTCTACCATAAAGACTGTGCTATGTTTATAACTTTGATGTGAAGTATATGTGTACACAAACTGCCATTAGCTTTCTCTCATTACAAACCAATCATTATTTATTTTCATTTCTAATATAAGCAACAAATCAACATCAAATGTATCGGTGACAGGCTGTTATTAACTATCTCCAAGGTGTTACGGACTATAATGCATAAATACCCCACTTCAAAACAACATTTCAATACTTGGACAAACAAACACTAACCTTTACTGCCTTTTCTAGTGTCATTGTGAGCAAATTACACCACTGATTTATACACTAGGAAATCTTGTATAGCGATCATAAACCTTCATAAACTATAGCTTGAAAAATATTTACCCAAGATTGTAACGTTCTCAATTGATTGAAATATCAAAATTATGGCCGAAGTAATATGTTTACAATCATGGGTTTTATATTCAATATCGGTTTGAAATTAATGCTACATGAAATGTATTTCTGCTGTTTTAAATGAAAAAGGTGGTTGTTGGTTAAAGTTGGAGACCATGCTGTAACCATAAGATGTGTACTCCATGTTGGAGGCCTCAATGTGACTTTGAGATAAAGAACAGCAGTGAAAGCGTTGTTCTTCGCATTTGTTTTTTGTTGTTGTTGTGCGCGAAGTGATTGTGTGTCAAGAAATGATACACCTTATCCAAAGATGTTCCGGAAAATAATTCTGCATGAAACGAAGAATATAACCCTCCCCCCAAAAAAAACAACAAATCATAATGACTCGGTTTAAAAAAAAATCAAACCGAAAAAATAATTGTAAATAGCTTTAAATAAAATTAATCATCCAAACTAAACGAAACAGGATAAATAAACAATAAAAACGAAAGCATGCAAACAAATAAAAGATACCACAGCAGAATAAAGATAAGAAATGCCAGTATAGGAAGTCGACCAAGCTTAACAAACAATTCTTCTTTCAAAGTAACCCCATCCTGATATGATATATGGAATAGGTAGATGTAGTGTATTTTATTATATATCTCCACATGTTTACTTCCGTGGCACGATATCAACAGCATGTTTTGTCTTTTAATGCATTATGGTTGACTGATAGATTGTTGTTTACACTACTTACAGTGGCAAATATATAATGCTTATTACACTGCAAATATATATTTAGTTCTCTATATACTCTCTATATATAGGTAGATAGATAAATACTTCTGTATTGGATCTGATGCAGTCACAATGCTATTTTCATTCAGAATATATCTGATAAACTTGTACTGCTTTATCTAATGTTGTAATGTCATAAGTATCCATGTCGTCCCCTGAATTTAGTATTTGCATGCCAAGTTTCCTAAAATTGCAAGTATTCATGTATTGTTTGTAATTAATGTTAATTTTTACTATTTTTCCTTTTAAGTTGATCCATTAAAGAAAGCAGTCGTCTTTGATAAGGATTTTTGTTTGTGTATACCTACTTTTTTGTGCCATTCATATCTACCAACGTTCTATTTGGTATCAACTATACTCCCGATGGTACTAGCTTTGGCCTCGCGCGTAACGTACAACTTAGATGATACTATAGACTTGACCTCACCCGTAACGTACAACTTGGATGATACTATAGACTTGATCTCAACCATAATGTTATAATTAGATGATACTAGACTTGGCCTCATCAGTAACGTAAAACAAAAGAAGGGGTATGAGGAAAATTGAAAGAAATCAGCAAGGTGTGAATAAAATGGAACATAAAACAGGAAAACCTGTTTTTCTTTTCTGCTTCTTATCTTGAAAATACTTGACAGGAAAGTTTGTATTCATAGTTTAATATTTTAAAGAATAGGATAGACAATTTATGTATGCACCGTAGACCAGAAGGGTGACATGAGAATTATAAATATTTTTCTTTATTAACTAAATTTTGTTTTGAAACATGTAACTATGTCGAGTTATCTTTGCCAATTGAAGAATTATACTTGTCTCATTTTAAGTAAGAATGTTACTTATCATTTCAAATAAATATATTCCGCCTCATTTCAAATAACTATATATATAACAAATGCGTTTTGTTGAAATATACTTTTTCACTTTTGTGGTCTTTTGGAAAATGTTGTTTGTGCTGTATTTAGACCCATCTACCAAGAAATTTGTTTTGCATGCACACGTATAAAAATTGCGGTTTTTATCCAACGCAATCATAGGTTTGAACGTTGTTTTCAATTTAGACTTGTTTATATTTTTTCGTTTGGGCTTGTATTATATTTGCCTTCGGGTTTATATGATCCGTTCATCCTATTTCGACTCTTCAAAATTCAAGAGTCTATCCTAAATTGAGGTAAATTATATGGTCTTCCAAATACCGTTTCGATTCCTAACATCACTGAACAGACATTAATTGTCGAAATCCGGATATGGTGTACTAATTTTTGCACCTTTTGTTTGCGGTATACCATCTTTTCCGCAAGTTTATTGTTTTCTGTTTGGTATTAAATTAATAGTTAAGATCCATTTTGTTACATCTGGTGGTCCGTTTAATGGCAATCGCCAATGGCAGTCAGCAGGGTTTAAGAACATCCGTTGTTCGACCTGCTAGTCAAATGCGATTTGTTAAAATATACTTTTTCACTTTTGTGGTCTTTTGGAAAATGTTGTTTGTGCTGTATTTAGACCTCTCTACCAAGAAATTTGTTTTGCATGCACACGTATAAAAATTGCGGTTTTTATCCAACGCAGTCATAGGTTTGAACGTTGTTTTCAATTTAGACTTGTATATATATATATTTACTGGTTGGTAGATTCTTATAGACTCTATATATATATATATATATATGTATAACATATCAACAAAAGTTGTCTAATTTATATGTCAATTCCAATATTTCATAGATTATTCTTATTTTCCAAACTATTTACATATTGTTTTCGTTTGCAAGCTTTTTATCCTTCCCATCATTTTCGTTTTCCATTCGTTTGATGTGTTCGAGCTTTTGATTTTGCCATTTGATAAGGGACTTTCCGTTTTATAAATTTTTCTTGGAGTTCGGTATTTTTGTTATTTTACTTTTTCAGTCAAGGAGAAGGCGGTGACGAATTTTTTTTCTTACCCTGTCTGTCTCGCCCTAAATTTGAACTATGTGTAATTTTGTTAAAATAGTTTACATACGAGTCTTTACAATTTATCTTTGTAACGTAGTAAACAAAATAACGGCGATCAAACAACAGTAAAGCAAGCAATCTTCATTAAATAATGAATACATTTTTTTCTACATCTTTATAGGGTTATTTTATTGGAATTAAATGATGACTGATATGAAAAGGAACTGAACATGAACTCGCAGATAATCAAAATTTGCCTTGAAAACCAGATATTCTGATACATTTATAAACTTTTGATAACTTAAAGAGAAAAAAAAACAACAATTAAACCTTTTCGCCTTTGGTCACTTATGTCCTATTATGAAAAAAATCTACATAAATACCATTTCCCGAAGAACAATGTAAGAGAAAAGGGAGGTTGATTAAAATTGAAATCAAACAACAGATTTTTAAAGAAAAAATATTGTTAACAAAATTATAATATTAAAAAAAGGAATCTATGGTAAGTTTTCATAGGTATTATATATTTGCAAACATTTTACTTCATCCATTTACTTTGCAAATTGAGGTCGTCGAAAGACAGAAAAGGGTCTTAGAATATAGGTAAATAAATAAACGATTTATTATAAAAAGTCAACAGATTTTCTACCGTTAATTCGTTAATATGTCTTAATCCTGGATACTCAAGTGCGAACTAAATATATATTCATGTAATCTTATCTAAACATCTGCACCTTTCACGACTTATATTGTTCATAGTTTAGCGAGACATTATTTTTTAAAATCATTCAACAACGTCTGTTTCTAAAAATCTTCTTGCTTGAATGATACTTTTTTTTATTTTTTTTTAAATGAGAGAATAATTTCATCTTTGTTTACTGAAACTTCTCACATTTTTATGAAATAAGTCAAATAAACTAAAGAAAAATAAGAACAGTCTCAATAGCAGTATTTTCTAACAATACATATTTGATTTAGTAATTTTAATCCACTTGAATAAAATAGAGGATAATCTAGGACAAAAAAGCGTGATTAAAATTTATTTAATCTGTAAAATATTTACTTTTCAATTCATTTCAAGAGATTTGAAAAAAAGCAAAATAAATACAACATGAATATTTTATTATCTATAAATATAAGCACTTAAACGAACAATGAATAATCTTTGGTCTCAACACAGGGAATGACAATAATAAATAACAATGTTTACTTACACAAATAATAATTATTGCACTAACGCGACCATCCACTTAGTCCGTACAATTGTAAATATTGTCTGTATTTTTCAATGTCTAATGAGTTTACGTGTGGTATAGCAGCTTGAAATTGCGCAAGTATAGCTGCATTTGCATTAACCCTCGAAGCAACGTCTAATTCACTTGTTCTAAACTGGGTCAGTGCGGACGTCGGAGAAAGCACTACAGAAGACGGTCTCGACGTGCTAGATGCTTCTGTCTTTTTATTGTCAGTGTTACCTATAATACTGTCTATAGAGAATCCTGGTTTTGCTGGTGTTGATGTTGTTGGACTAGGACTAGACGATATATTTACTAACGGTCTGGGTAACGATATAGCAGGAAGGTGAGCCCTATTGTTCATCTCCTGAGTAAGGAATGGTAATTGAGATGTCATTAATGGTGAAAGGTACGGATAAGTTATCCCTGCCCCTATCATTGCTGGATGGGCTGATTGGAATATTCCAGGATGATGATGGTGATGGTGAAAGTACTGATCAGCACCAAATGCAGTAGGCTGATGCATCATATCCGGATAGGACCTCTTGAATCGTTTGCGTCTTCGAAGAAAACTTCCATTGTCAAACATATCTTCCGATCTAGGATCTAATGTCCAGTAGTTACCCTTTCCCGGGTTTCCAGGTTCACGGGGAATTTTGATGAAACAATCGTTCAAAGACAGATTATGTCGAATGCTGTTTTGCCATGCTGGGAACTTTTCTCTGAAATACGGAAATCTGTTCATGATAAATTCACATATTCCTGAGAGAGTCAGTCTTTTGCGAGGTGACTGTAGTACTGCCATTGTTATTAAGGCTATATAAGAATACGGTGGTTTCACAAGATTTGAACGTTTCTTATTTACATTTGTTAAACTTTTCTCTACAGTACTGTCTAAATTTCCCTCGGTTTTAATTTGTTCTGAACTTTGTCCCTCGGAAACACAGTCAGAATGTCCCGCACATTCCTCTATATCCTCTATGTCTTCTATGTCAATGTCTTCTTCCTCACTTTCTATTCCACCAGACTGCCAACATGTCTTTTCGTTAGTTAAATAACTTTGGCTATCAAGTTTGTCTGTAGAATGATGAGCATTATTCTCCATTGCAAGTTTCATATCCCACGGAACCCAACTTCATGGAGTGTCGTAAAAGGTGTGAAAACAGTACAGTTAAGAGGCACCTATTATAATAATTATTTAAATGACGTGCGATTGACCACCACAACTGTTTTATAATGTTTGTAAATATTACAGAAATTCAAACTTGAAGGTGCCAATCACGGCCATTTAAACGTTACATTGTGTAAAGTGGGCGGAGACTACCGATTCACTGTTACATCCCACTTGGTTAATCTTGTCATTTTTAAGGTAATTTATTTTATTAAGAAGATGCAGGATCAATGAGTTTGTTGAAATATTATGGAAATGTTTTAATAACTAGAAAAAACCAGTACAACAATTTTGAAACAGAAACAAAATATAATATAAAATTTATTATTATATTTTTGGACAGATGTCCATTTCGCTTGAAACGAAATATATATAATTCTTTTGTAGCAAGATGTTCTTTACAAATACAATATTCCGACTGATCTCTCCGTTTCCCGAACATTTATTTAAACAATAAAGTATGATGTTTTCTTTCCAATGGTTAAGATATATTTTATGTTTTCGTCTCTATGGTAAAGACTTGTTCCAGATATTCAAAAGTTAGTTGCGTCATCATTTATTATATATGTTGAAACTATTTTCTCAGTTTTCAGTAATAAAAGGTTCAATTGGTGAGGTTAAGTTGCTGGTGTCTCATATATACTGAACACACCTGGCCAAAATTTAAACATTCATGGTGAGTTTTCTTCCTTAAATGCAATACCGTGGCATTTTCATTTATTAACTCAAGAATATTATTTTAAATATTCATAAATATAACAATCGTCATCAAAATTTTGAGTGTAACATTTCAATATAAAATTAAATATTGACATTATTTTTCTCTTAAAATAGTTTACCACAGACCGTCAAGCACCTGCAGGTTGAGTGTTATAAAATTAAAACGTGTCAATATTTATGTGACTCTTGTATTCTTTTACCCCCTATCATATCTATTTACCTTCTCCCTATCTGTTTGTATACTCTCTCCTCATAAATTTGTCAAAATTTCAAATTAGTTTTTACATCATTACTTATTAGTTTGGGTGGCAACCAAATTTATCTGATTCCTGGGAAAGTTTTAATGAAATGTGTTGATGAGTTTTGCAGTTGTTTAGTCCTATAACTGACCGGTTGTTTGTTTAACATGCTGAGTATCTTATTGACGAAGACAAATGTATTCTGTCAAACATCGTACCTTTCCCAAGGCATGTTTTTCTTTGAATATTTTTACGGATTTACAATAAGAATTTGTTCAATTTTAGAAAAAATAACAAAAAATGTTGAAATATTCCTTGAAACAACAACAAAAACCTTTATTCAAAGAAAAATATAACAATAAAACTTTTCAATATAATTTTTTAAGTGAAGTCTTCTGTGTGAAAATTGTTTTTACCATTTGTATACATTGAAATGTTTTCCTTGAATGGATTATTTCATTTTATTGGTGTTTAATTCGTTAGCTATTTTGAAATAAATATTACAATAATACAAACAAACGAACGAACGGACGGACGAACGATTGAATGAATGAACGAATGACACTTAAGACGTAAAAGTCAAGAAGTTATGAAAAAAAAAGTTTAGCATGTCTTAGACGTCTTTTTTTCTAAAAGTTAATACGAGGCTTTATTTTATTTAATGTAAGAAAACATTTCGGTTGTAAAAAAAATTTGGTATATATAAACATAATAATTGGGTGTTAATGCATGTTGAATGGTCTTGACAGATCATTATATAAAGAATTGATCCTAACAATATAAGGTCATGTCTTTAATAGTCAGATTATCTGTATATTTAACAGTAATGTCACTGAAATCTAATTATATTTACGTGTTTAATTTATAATCCTTTGTTATAACATCTAACGTAGTAGAGACCTTTGTTTCTGTAATAGATTACTATAAATCTACTTTTCATCAAGTCACAATAGATTTTGTACACTGCAATACATGTCATACGCGGCTAATGTCGCATTTCCGCACTTTCTGTATATAATGAGACGAAAACTAAACAAAATTGATCATGATAAATAATTGTGACACTAAATATTTAGTTTTATTAATTTATAAAGAAATTGGATTAAAGGTTAATATAATAACGGAAACAATTCGATACATGCTTGTTCTAATGCAGGATCAAACATTTGACAGTATTATGTGACTGTGCCAAAATATACTGGTTCCTCCTATTTATATATGGAAATATGCATTTTTATTTAGAGAAACTATTTATTCGTTTCCATTTTATTTACAGCAATATGTATTTTTTATTGAAAAATATGACTATTTAAAGCTTGGCATATTGTAAAGACACAATATCTATTTATTGTTGAAGACTGTATATATTGGTCTATATATGTCTTTGGTTATTTTTATCGTAGGATTGCTGCCTCGTTGACTTGTACCCCATATTTTCCTTCTACAAATAAATAAATAAATAAAGTATATTATAAATAAATATAGTCGATTCCAGCGGGTATATAGGCAAAGCTAGAGCAAAAATATTGACTATTAAAAATACGGTGTTAAATAGCTAGATTGGTGCTTGCTAAACAAATCACTATAAAGAGAGAGCGAACGTGTTAAATTGGTAAATTAAACGACTACCAACAAACAGAAGGAAGGACGGATCAATTCGAGTGAAAAGACATCAATTTATTTGACAAAATACTTATTTTAGTAATCTAATCTTAATTTGTTTATTTTTGTAACTGTAATGTTTATTTTATTGGGCTGTGTTTACTTAACAACTTGTTGTATTTGGCTAACATACAATTGTTAACATACAATACCTGGTTATTTTTTGCTACATTATTATTCTTTGATAGAGAAACAATTTTAAATGGAAATGAAATCCAAACAAAACAAGGCTTGGGGATGTTCCCTGACTAACTCGTATTGTATAAGGCACACATTTCAGTTTAGATGCGTGTTTTATTTCACTGTGTTAAAACACTTGATTAATAAAGAAGCAGGTGGGGAAATGGATTTAAAGTTTACCTTTCTAAAGTCTTTGATCGGCGGGTTATCTATTTTCTATAGTTATTTTTTACACTTTTGATTTCGCTTCTTTTGTAGAGCAGACCATTGCGGCTATGTAAATAAATGGTTTATTTTACGAACATGATCCTATGTATCATTCAGAACTATGTAGATCTCACACCGAGGCTGCAGTGTTGACTTAACACAGCCTATTACAATTAACATGTTTACCTACGCAGCACGATAAAAGCTCGATCATGCAACCTATTAATTTTTAATTAGGCAATTCCACGCAACATTATCAAAATTGCGATTAAATCTTTAGAAAACAAATTCAAGTTAAACAAATTATTATAAAATGATAACAGAATATTTAGTTGAGAATATTTGATGTACTTTGTGAATTATTAACGTGGGTTTTTTTCTATGTGATCAATGTTTTTTTTTCAATTCTACTTCAGATATGAAAGTAGTTTAAAAAAAATCAAATGATAAAACAAATTGTAGCAGTTTTAAAGATTAGTCGTTTTTTTAGTGCTTCAGAATAAGTATTGGAATGGTTTACAAAAATATCCCTTTTTAATTCAAGACTCTGAGATGATCTTCCTGTTGTAACAGCTTAGGTACTGACTTGTTCTTTTCTTTCAATAATTGTTATAGACAAAAGCATAAATAAAAAGTAGCGTTTAGCAAGTGCATCTGTGATTTCAAAATTTGATACGTGCATTTAGTAGTCAGAATCCACAACACTGAAATAATTGTTGAAAGATAATATTTAAACTAGCAAAAATCTAAATTAAGAAATTATTTAAATTTTAAAATGTTCATTGTCATTAAGTTCTGAATTTGTAGTATACCCCACCCATCCTGTTGAACCAATGTTAATTATCATTCGTTCTGTTGAAAAAAATGCCAATTTCCATTCACTCGATAGAAGAATTGAAGATTAGTAATTATTTGTTCCACCAATGACATATGTTATTTATCCTGATATTCCAATGATAATTGTTATTCATCCTGATATTCCAATCATAATTGTTATTCATTCTGATATTTCAATAAAAAGTGTTATTCATACTTTTATTCCAATGATAAATGCTTTTCATCCTGATATCCCAATGACATTTGTTATTCATCCCGAGATTCCAATAACAAATGCTATTCGTCGTGTTATTGTAATAACAATTGCTATTCGTCGTGTTATTCCAATGCCAATGTTATTAATCCTGTTATTCCAATGTTAATGGTTATTCGTTCCTTTGAACCACTATGTATGCTATTCGTTCGGTTTATACAAATAGCAAATGTTTTACCAATTATTAATGTTATTCCTTATTAGTATTATTTTAGTAGGTGTTTTAGATGAATTGGATTTTGAATATAAATCGTATATTCATCCGATGAAAGGGTTAATTAATCTGTATTTACCACGCTAAGCGTTGCGCGTAAAAATTCAAAAATCATGCAACAATACTAATTGCTATTCATCAATCCTGTTGTACAAATGATGATCCTGTTTTATCAATTTTAATCGCAATTGAGTCTGTTACATTGTATTGTAATGATTGCTATTTATCATGCTGTACCAAATATACCTGTCATTCTATATAAAAATGAGGTGGAAGATATTAAAGGAACATTTAAATATCTTAAGTCGAAGAGAAACTGACAACGCCAAGACAAAAAAAAACAACTGGAAAAACGACAAAAAGACAAAGTAGTCCTCAATTAATTCAAAGAAAATAGAGATTGCTGTAACGTCTGACGCCCTTTTGTTTTTACTTGTTGGGACCGTAGGACGTCAGAGCGTAGTCTATGAATGCAACTCGGAAATTACCGACCTAGAATTGGACAAATAATTCGACAAAACTAGATCTTTTAGTGAGCACTTTTATGCAGCCTACCTTTTCGATCCCATGTTTAACAAAAATAACAAAAAATTATATTCTCACGTATGTTTATATAGTATTATAATCGTAGGAACAAAAGGATATTATTCGGTAGTTTATGAACATTTTCATAGAAAGCTACTATTT